GTTGTTCCTTTAAGAGATGCGATCGCTATTCTTGCATGCTTCATTTCTACTTCATCCGAGTTTCACATGAACATAAAACTTTGACACAGAAGTCAATTTCAAAAAGAAAACAACACAGACAGCACTTGTACTGATGTGAAATCGAAATTGTAGTTGTACATACCACACTCGCTCCGACAACTGTTTGCACTTTGTCTCTCTTTTCTTTAGCTAAAGCAATTCCTGATGGCCAGTTGCATTCTTCATATCCTCCAATGACAGCCGTTGTAACCATCAGCTATAACTCTTGCGTTCATGATAGTAGTACAAGTGGGAAGAAGTTGTTTGGTGTAAGGACCAACAAAAATAACTTACAATTAGAAGCACTTTGAAGCAGGACATCACGGAATGAAGCTTTTTGCTTCCACTACCCTTATATACTGGCTAGAAACGTAATCGTGAGTGGCAGTCAATTCCAAAACAGTGCCAATATATGAGTACAGTTCTTTCACGAGAGAGACGAAGTTGACATAGCAATAAACAATTTCAGGCCGCTACGCGTCCTCTTAAACATACATTGTTTAAGTACAGTTTAACTTTTTCAAAAGGCAGCAAAATTAACACTAAGTTATTATCAAATGAAGCAATCGCACCGTTCAATTTGCTTCACATTAAACAAACCAGTGTTATATTTGATAAACACTCAGGCATTTCATTGTTTGATGCAGTCCAACTTTTTAAACAGGAAATTGACAACAAGTTATTAGATGAAGCTATTTCGCAACAAACACTCAAGCAATGTCATTGTTTAAGTACATTTCGCAATTATCAAACGAATGCAATATCGTCGGCTACTTGATAGTGCGCAATGGACAGAGCAATTATTGTAATATGAACGCGGAACTGTTTCATTTCATAACAAACAAGCAGGGCTTACATTTGTAAATGTGAAATGACACTACACGAGTATGATCAAATGTAACAGTTATTAATTCAGTGTTAAGCCAAATGAGAACGTTAGGGGGGGTGGGGGGTTGATTCACCTAATAAGAATTTGGTGCTTGTTGCAGTCCTTTAGAAAGCTAGAATGCACTCAAATAAAGCGTGTTTAGGTACTAAACAAATGTGAAGGGTTAGAAAGTATTAATTGCTGTGCAGATATG